GGGAGACAAGTGAGTGGTCTTGGGTAGGGTTCAATCACTGACTCACTCACTCACTCACTTACTCTCGGCTTTGTCCCTTGGGTAGGCTTAGTTGGGTTTACCAAGCCATAGGAACATGTTCTCTCATTTATATTCTCTCTGTACTCCCCCTCAACTGGAGCACTCGGTATGCTTTGTCATTGTTAGGCACCGGGGAGGATAACATTGAACACTACCTCTAAATGTTGCATCCTTTGAGAGATTCCTTGCTTTGTCGGTGTAAGGCGCCAGGAGGAGAAAACGGAAACTCCCCCTCAGAATGTGCAAGGTTTGATTGCTCACAGATTGTCATACCCGCCATGTGTGTGGAGCAATCTAAACAAGTACCACACATGACGGTTTCCCCTTAGCTCATCATGTAGAATTTTAGCATATTGATGATCACCTAATGTTGATGAGTTAGGGGAGGCTTCAGTAGTTGATTGTTGTAAGATGACCGTTGATGCGAGGTTGATTGAATTATCTACGATTTGCGGACCTCTACAATGTAGTTGAGAAAATCTTTAACCTTAGGTTTGACTTTGGACGAATTTGAACAGATTTGCCTAAGTTTTGACCTTGACATCGGTGATTTACAAAGTTTGTCAGAAAACGAAAAATTTGACCCTCAAGGCTTGCACGTGAGGGCGCGTGAAAAAGGGTTATGGGGTAAACCCCTAGAATAAATGAAGATCTTTTCATTAGCTTTCCAACAAAAAGGTTCGCTTAAATCGGATCACCGAGTCAAAAGTTATGGCCAAAATAGTGCAATGTCGCTGAAAATCTCGAATTTTGTGTTTTTGAGGAATTTCTTCGAAGTTGAGGTTCTCGATGTTGAATACCGAGAGCAGGTGGAGTTTAAACAAAATTCTAAGGCAAAACCTCGAAATCCTAATCTCGAGGTTTAAATCTTGAGATTACAATCTCGAGGTTTAAATCTCAAGATTACAATCTCGAGGTCTAAACATCGAGATAACAATCTCGAGGTTTAGATCTCGAGATTACAATCTCGAGGTTTAAATCTCGAGATTATAATCTCAAGGTTTAAACTTCGAGATTACAATCTCGAGGTTTAAACTTCGAGATCTTAATCTCGAGTTTGCCTCGAAGAAAAATGATGAAATCCACCTGCAAAACAAAACCTCCATACTTCGAAATCTTCAGAATTTCAAAATATTTGGAACATCGAAAACTTTGGAGTTTCGAAAACCTAAGAATATCGAGAACTTGCTGTTTGAAAAACTTCAGAACATCGAAAACTTCTAAAAACTTTGATAAGCAGGGAATCATTCAAAAATCCTATAATATAATGTAAAGCTTCGATGAACTGCGAAGAATGTCAAGCTTCGAAAAATTCTGAGTTTTAAGAAAGTGCAAACTTTGAAAGATTCAAAACATCGAGAAATTCCTAAAATCTCGAAATCTTCAGAATGTCGAGATCTTCAATTATCGAAATCCCAAAATTCGAGGTTTCATAAGCCCAAAATGTCGAGATCCTGCAAAATTAAAATTTCGAATTTTGAAAAACTAAAAACTGTTTTGAATAGCCCTGAAGGTCGAGATTCTTCCTGCATCAGTTTTAAGTCAAAAACGTTTATGCAGCAGTGAAAAACAAGAATCTCGAGATCTCAATGTAGAGATCTTCGAAATCGAAAAATTGTAGAAAACGAAAAAGAAGATATGATGTTGGATCGTTATGAAATGGCGATTCCAACGGTATAAATTTTACAGATTTTCATTCACAAACAAGATTACAGGAGCAAATCTCTATATTAAAGAAAAACAGAAGAAAAGCAGAGCAGTTCTTCGTTAGATACGAAAAACGCAGATAATTCAACCTTTTTCACGTCTCGGCTCTGATACCAATTGATAGTTCATATACTGAACAATCTAACAATCATAGCAGTGTAGAAGTAGCAAAAAGAAAGATATCGAGATAATCAACGAATCTGGTATACCGTGTAGAACGCCAGCTCTCCCTCGAGAGAGAGAGAGAGAGAGCAGCGGAAACCTAATCTCTCTATCTCGCCTCTATTCTCTCGAGCCTCAAACCTTAGGGTTTCCATAAGTTAGTCTCCTTTTATAGGAGAAGTTGGCCAACTTATGGATTACAAAGAAGCTAATGGGCTGATATACATTTGTGGCCCATATTACACGTTTAACTAATAACTACACAAATACAAAGATATTTAATTAGATTGGACACCATAAAATATTCCTAACATACTCTTTGCGAATGCCAAAAATTTTCTTTAAATCTTCCATAAATATGGCATTCGTAATGAATTTGGCATTTTTTTTCCCTGGTGACTGGAGGTGGTGGTGGTGGGGCGGTAGAGGCGGCGGTGATATTTTTTTTGCCTTTTTTTTTAAAACTTTTTATTTTTTAAATTGTTGTTTTTTCATTTTTATTATTTAAATATTTTTATTAATTTTTTAGTTTTTTTTACGAAATTTTATTATTTTTTATTATTTTATTATGAATTAAAACATTTCAATAACAATAAGGTTATATTTGTCCAACACACACATAATTAGTTGTATCAAAACATAGTTTACTTTTTGGTCCTATTTGGGCAAAGTGCCTAACTTTTAGTCGTAATTTGACAATTAACCCTAATGACTAAAGTATATCTATTGACAATTCCAAATATTTGTCACTATTTAAAGTTTATGAATATTTTTTGTTACCATTGGTCATTTGTCACAATTAACCACTTTTATGCGACAAAGACGTTATCCATACTTTGATCAATTTGTGATGATAAACTTCTTATTTATGATCTGTAATAAAATTTGTGATACAAGATTAATTCCGAGGATCATAACTTTACCATATTTGATCGATCAAATTAAACTTTGACCAATGTCATATTTTTATAGGAAATTATTTATAATATAACAACGAGAACTTTTACTTTGCACCTCACTTTTTGTGTGATATTGAACTTTACACTCTTCATTTTCAAAGCTCTTAGATTTTGCACTCTATAGCACAACATTTTGTGAAGAAAAATTCGGGAATGGGGTGCAAAGGCAAAGACTTTTTAGGGGAACTAGGTTGAAAAGTCTAAAAGTTTTAAAAATTGAGTGCAAAGTCTAATATTATCGAAAAAGAGGGTGTAAAGTCAGAATATCCCTGTAATATTAATAATGATATATAAATGTTATGTTTTTTTATTTAAATCACTTTCATAAAATTATACGGAGTGCTAATCAAAATATATTTGTAAATAAATTACTATCATTGACTTGAAAAGTCAAAATGACATAGTTTTAAGGGCGAAAATATATCATCACCGAATGAATATATGTAAATAGTTGTTGCTTTTTATACACTTCTTTCTAAGAATAATGATATGATGAAAGTTTGAACTTTTTAACCTCGTAACTTTTTTATTCTGTTTGCGCTTTTTTATCCCAGAACTTGCATATTTGATCTTTTAATTACTACGAGTAAATGATTCAATTCTCTAAATAGGATTAATAAGTGGCAAAATTGCACAAATAGTTTTAAGGGATTCTCGTAACAGGACTGTTTATGTTTGTTTGGACAAATATACCCTTGTAGCATTTGAAATGTTTGAATTAATAAAAAAAATCATAAAAAAATAATAAAAACCATGAAAAAAATAAAAATCGTAAAAAATAATAAATTATTAATAAAATATTTATAAATTATTTTTTTAAAATAAATAAAAAAGTAAAAAAACACATTTCCACCTCTGCCGCCCCCAGCTTCCATCACCGGAGAAAATTTGCCAACATTTTTAGTAATGCCATAATGATGGAAGATTCAATGACAATGTTGGCATAATGAAGAGTAATAATGTCATTTTCATAAACAATGACATTTTTTACAAAAGTGACAAAATTTTCACCGTACCGATCGAAAGTGGTGTTGCTGGGAGGTGGTGGGAAAGGTATACATATTTTTAATGATTTTTTACTATTTTTATTTTATTTTTTTAAATAAAAAAATTATTTTTAAAATTTTTTATTTCATAAATATTTTATTATTTTTTATTATTTTTTTGAGACTATTATTATTTTTTACGATTTTTTATTATTTTTTATGATTTTATTATGAATTAAAACATTTCATTATGAATTATACCCTTAGAGGTATTTAGGTTAGAAAATCAATATTTAGTCCTATTTGAGGAATTTAAAAGTAGTAGTCCTATTTGTGCTTTTTAGAGACTCATTAGTCCTATTTAGGACAATAACTATTAATAAATTCATCCATGTTAAGGACTTTTATTTCCACGGGTACATTATTTATTGGCACTACAAAAAAACACGGGATTGACAAAGATTTGTGGGACGGATTTCACAAAATTGACAGGGATTTTGGAAAGGATATGTCAAATCCGTGCCAAAAACAGTTTGGCACGAGCTATTTGGCACGAAATTGTCGATAAATCCGTGTCAAATCCATATCAATCCCGTTATTTTTTTGTAGTGTCGTAATCTTAAATAAGTTCTAATTTGATTAGAAAACATACAAAGTTGATTTATACATATTATAACATTAACTTATATTCATATTTTACTTATATATCTTGAGTAACATCTCTTTAAAAAGTTATACTCCATACAAAAAATTCAATGTCTTATTAGTACGTGGATTCGTGGACATTATCGTGTAATTTGTTGGTCTGGTCTCGTCTGGTTTCTTTGTATTTTTATAACTATCTAAGTCTGATTTGGTCTGATCTGGTATGATCTGGTCTGGTCTGATCTGATCTGGGAGGAATTACGGTCCAAGTAAAAACATTGTATGATTCCATTCATTAGTCATATACTACGTATAAATTTGTAAAATCATGATTCCATTCTTACAATAGACAAGTCTCAACTCTGAAGCCAAGAAGCCTTCTATTGATCAAACTTCTTTCATTCTCATTACAAGAGCCATGCACAAGCTAAATTGTACTCCGTACATACACTATAAAAGATGCTGAAAGAACACTACTTACAAGTTACAAAAAATCATCCGTTTGATCGAATTCTAAACGATGGAAAATAGAAATCTTGTTTTTCCTCTTCCCCTTACAAAACTGTTTTGCATGTTCTTAATCTTCATGATGATTCTTGGAGTCAAATCTCAGGACCAAGTAATTAATGATATATTCTGCGTCAGTGAATGTGGAGCATGCCCTAAAGTTTGCCCTACTCCGCCACCGGGAGGAACCTCCCAGCCACCACCAATACCATCAGTACAACCGCCGCCGCCCAAGCCACACCATTCTCGGCCCCCTTTACCGCCGTATTACTACATGGCGCCTCCAGTACCGCCCGGAGTGTACATCACCCCAATAAAACCACCATCCCTTTCTCACAACAGCCCACCATCTGTTCCATACTTTTCCCTCCCACCGCCATCAACTCCGGTGCCTGTTATGATGCCACCGCCATCCCAACCGGAGACTCATCGGCGGCCGCCTCCATCCACTGTGCCTCAGCTGTCTCCGCCAATAAGTACACCGCCAGCGGCTGGTTCAGGGCAGGGGCAATATAACTATACTTACTACGGCTTCGTCATATCGGAGGCCGCTGCCTCTAATGGCAGGGCGTGTGGACCGATTGTTGTGCTTTTTGGGGTGTTGATATACTTCCATGTTTTCTACGTACTGCCAAAATGGTGAAAAGGGAGTCACGTTCCTGCAATATTTGATTGTGAACTAATGTAATACTACGTATTAAAAATTAAGTCTAACTAGTGTAACACCCGTCGCATGCCCAATAGTATTGATTTGGTATGAATTCGAGTGAGAAATACCGACTATAATCAATTCAAAAGTTTGACTATAATCAACTTCTTTTATGACTTAGCACCATCATAGAAGACAGATGAGAAATCACCATGTTTTGGAATATGAATTTGTGATTATATACTTATAGTGTTGTTTATGTGCTAATTGTTGCAATTGTTATGGAGTATTAATTATTTATAAGGATCATTAATTATATGATGAGGGACGATGAGAAAAAGTGTTACGTTTAATGGGAAATGATAGTTGGGCATGGGGATGGGGAGGGGCAAGGGTAATGGGTGGTCTAAGGGGATACATGTGGCGGTGGGATGCTGGCCCCGGCGGGGTGGCTTGGGGCGGTGTTGGATGGTTAGTGACCAACCGTGGAGGTCACTATTTTGTCGGGAGAAGTCACCGGAAAATTATTTAACAATCACAGTACACGTTTAACGGCAACAGTGACATGCGAAAGTGACAAGAAAATCAGTAGTGAAATTCAAAAAGTGACATAAAAAAGTAGCAGTGACATAAAAATCTGGATGCCGTGACATAAAAATTTGAGAAAATTATTGTTCATATGACTAAAAGATCATGTATTTCCCAATGTATGACCTCGTAGTTTTTTTCCCTAGTTTGTTGCTTGTTTTTTGGCCTTCCTCTCACACGCATACTAATTTCTAAGCCTACAAAATACTACGTAGTAGTTATCCCTAAATCCTACTCGTGTATGGTGCTTAGGGGTGTTCACCGGTCCAAAACCGGATCGGACCGGACCGGAACCGGTTAGGACCGGAACCAGAATCTTAAACTTATGAGAACCGAAGACCGGACCTATTACTAACCGGTCCAGACCGACCCGGACCGGAATTTTCCGGTCCGGTCCGGTTTTGACCCTAATTAACCCGGTTTTTTAAACAAAAAAATAATAACACAGACTTTTATTTCGAAAAATAATCTGATGAGCAAATATGCGTAGTAAATGTTTAATTCATATATCAATATTAGCATATAAATGTTTATTACTTCCCTAGTGCACACTACAAACTAGCAGACTGTATTTATAGTCTTGAATTCTTGCAGATTGCAACTTAAGAAATAGACTTGAGAATATCATAAAAATATATAAACTACAACCATATACCATATTGCACACCTATAGAAAAGGTACTGCATAAAAAACAAACTGCATTGTAGTTTCAAATCATAGCAAATCAAATAATGAAAATTCAATTTCGCAAAAAACAAAACATACTGCTATTAACTTTAAAAAGATACTATATATGAACGTATCTTGGGTTTCCCTAATTTAGTTCGTAAAATAAATGGGCCACCGGTTACAAGCCCTAAAAATGGAAGTATTTGTTTTGGGAAAAGTAATTTAACGGGCAACCGGTCCGGACCGGTATTTTTCCGGGTTTGACTCGGATCGCACCAGAACCCGGAATCTTAATCATGATTGTTGAAAAAAGCGTATAAAAAGAAATTACAACTATTTACATATATAATAAACATTCTGAATCTATGACCTAACTAGTTTTTTTTCTCAAATTAATATTAAAATTTGTAATATTCAATTAAAACTCGTAATAAATAAAAAATAAATAAATAAATAAATAAGTAAATAAATAAATACATAAATAAATAAATAAATAATAAATAAATAAATAATAAATAAATAAATAAATAAATAAATAAATAGATAAGTAATTTATATGGACTAATATACCTTTTATGTTATTATAACTATAAAACTCTAACCTTCTGCTCCTTTTCTCCAACCCTGATCTCTAGTATCCCGCCGTCCAAGATGCACCCGCCTCCCGCAGCTGACGGCCCGCCGCTCAGTCGCACGGCTGCCAACGGAGTCGACGAGCTCCACTTCAATCTACGACCTTCACTAATGATATAAACTATAAGGTAGGCCCTACATTTTTGTTCTTTGTTGATTGATCTCGAAATCTACAAAAAAATCCACGACCGACGATCTAACTCGTTTAATGTATATATCCACACGAAAAAGACGATGGGATCCGGCATACTTTGTTGGACGAAGCATTGCGGAAGACACCTCCCATGCAGGCAGAGTTCGGTGAAATCCAAAACGGTGAAAGGTTCGCGATAGGTGGTTACCTTTGAGGCAGTTTCTTCCAACTTTTTTTGGGTTCACATACAATTCATTTTTTGTGTGTCACAGACAGTTCTTTACTAAAATGTAAATTAATTGTCTATGCACATACAAAATACAGTTGACATGTAAATGGGTGTGTATAGCGGGGTGTACAAGTAGCATTTTTGTATGTTTGTTTCCTTTATGCTTTCATTTTTTCTTTGATATTTCTCCTTTTCCGTGTACTTTCCATTTCTCTTTTTAGTAAAGTTCCTTTCTTAAACGCAAATTATACCCTACGACCGGCGCACCATGAGGATGGTGTGCCCGCTCCCAAAACTCCATCCTCCGCCCGCGATCCAGACCTTTCCAAGCCCTAGACACCCCTCCAAACACCCCAACCGTTGTGCCCCACCGCACGACCCAAGTCGCCGAACAAAATTTACGCCGAATCGATGCAGAAGAAGGATGAAGGCTGATCTCCATCTTTGTCGCAAGGTCTGGTCGCGATTTTCATCGCAAGGGACTGGCTTCCATCTTCATCGCAGGGGCTGGTCGTCATCTTTGTCGCAGGAGACTCGATTTGTTTTTACTCGATTGGGTTTGGAGACAAGAAGGTGTAGCTATATATTAGTGTGTATTTTTGGCCGGAAGTTACATGTCCGTAAAGGCATTTTACATTTCAAAGGGCTGGAGTTACATCTCCCAGGTTACATCTGACTTGCTTCCGAGTTACATTTCAGTTAAAGAAATTTACATTTCAACGAGTTACATCTGAATGCGTATAATTTACATTTTGATAAACCTTAAGTTAGGATTCACACGGTTTACATTTGATATAACCTTGGGAGCAGGATGCTCACCATGCACCGCTCCCACGGTATAGCAACTCTTTCTTAAAAAGACACGTAGTAGAGCATAACTAGTTCATACGTAGTATTTTACTCTTATTTTGAAGAATTTAATTTTCACTCCAATTTTGAACAATGTTTTTAATTTTTTTAGTCATATTTAATTTAGGGAAAAATACACGTCTATGATTAAAAGAAAGATAAATTTCTAAAATATGACTCAAATAAGTTTTTTATGTATCTATGACTAAAAACAATGTTACGCATCAATGGCTTAAAAATAGGAGATGGAAAAATACGTTAGAACATCTCCAATGCTACAATGTGCACGGTGCACATGTGGCATGAGGGATAACCACAAAAATATTAGTAAATAAATTCTTTATCTCCTTATTTGAATGCTTTTATGCAGTTTTGGTAAGTTTTTCTCCACAATGTCAAGGAGACCGTCTAGATGTTGACATTACAGTTGACATTGCAGGAGAAAACTTACCAAAATTGTATAAAATCATTCAAATAAGGAGAGAGATAATTTATTTGCTAATATTTATGTGGTTATCTTTCATGCCACATGTGCACCGAGCACACTATAGCATTGGAGATGCTCTTATTGCCCTAGCCTGAATATTTCATGAGAGTAGACTAAGAATAAATTAAAAAGGAACTTTTAAAAAAAAAGAAAACGTAGATAGCGAAATTGTAGGGGAAGGAGAACAAAGCAATTAATGTTATTGACAACAAGGCTGAATATAAGGGGTTTTCGTATTCAATATAAATAAAATATAATAAGGGCAGTGAATGTATAAAATATATTAAGGACAGTAAATGTATTTGGACTGGAATTTGAGTTTTTCGAGACAGTAAATTTTAGACAATATGTGTTTTTGTGTGTGTGCATTATAGGAAAATATATGATAAGGGCAATAATTCAAAGTGTTGTAAACAGTAAATTGAATGCTTATTGAATGTCTTTGTGAAGTGAAATACATGTTTTTGGACAATGAATTGAATATGTGAAAAGTATTATTGGACCGTAAATTAAATTTGTTTGACAGTAAATTAAATTATTGCCTGCATGGCTGCATGCTTATATTTAACTTTATTCAAAATGCTTATTTTTTAAAAATATGTAAGGTTGAGGAATTATTTAAGGTTGAGGAATTATTTAATGTGGCGTTATATGAAGATAATGATGTGTGATTAAAATGTATGTAAATTCTAAATTCCTAATTTTTAGGGAGAAGAAAGTTCATTTTACCTTTTATGAGGAATTGCATCCTTATTATTAGGAGACCTATTGCAAAACTATTTAATTCCTTAATTTTAGGAGAAAATAACTACTTATTAAGTATTGATTGGAGGACATAAATGGAATTAAAATAAATAATAAAGGCGCGTAGTACCATCTATAATATGAGAGCATCACAAGAGAAAAAAATTAAAAGGGAAAAAAAACTAAAAGAGTCGTATATCGGGAACGTTCTTTTAATCATAAGAGGGATAATTTTCTCTTTAATTTAAGTAAACTTTTTATATACAAATACGAGAGTATTAGCCCTGAGACTTTGCTGAACAAATGACATACGTAGTACAACATTTCAAGTGTAGCTAGGAGCGCTGTTTAATTAAAATTAAATTAAGCATGAACATAAAAACATATCAACAATGCAAACAGAATGCGTCCAAAAAGCCGCCTAGTGGTAGAAGCTGCCTCCGATGTGACTTGGTGGTAGTAAGGATAACCAGACCCTCCTTGTCCCGTGCCTGCTGGCGGTGTATTCGTAGGAGGAGACGGTGGTGCCATCCAAGTAGGCGTCGCCGGCGTTGATGGTGGTGGGACGGAAAAGTATGGAACAGATGGTGGGCTTTTCTGATCGGGAGTAGGGGGTGGCATTGATGGTGGACTGCTCTGATCAGGAGTAGGGGGGGGCATTGATGGTGGGTTGTTTTGAACAGGGGGTATTGGGGTGATGACAACTCCGCTCGGTCCCGGAGGTACGATGGAGTGGTGGTGCGGGGGCGGCGGAGGAGGAGGAGAATGGTGGTGCGGCGGTGGCGGCTGTAGCAACGGTACTGAAGGTGGTGGGTTGTTTTGAGCAGGGGATATTGGGGTGATGACAGCTCCGCCTGGTGCCGGAGGTGCGATATTATATGGCGGTAAAGGCGGCCGGGAATGGTGGGCCGGTGGAGGCGGCTGTAGCAGC